ACAAACAGCACGAGACTGACACGCAGTATAACAATTATCTAATGACACAAACAGCACGAGACTGGCACGCAGTATATCAATTATTTAACGACACAAACAGCACGAGACTGGCACGCAGTATATCAGTTATCTAATGGCACAAACAGCACGAGACTGACACGCAGTATATCAATTATCTAATGACACAAACCATCTATCAGAGCACAGTCTATTAAAACTATTACTACGGAAGACTCCAAATCGTGTTTTTAGAGCGGGATTTGATCTCAATGATGATACACGGAGTATATATACATGCATTTAACTTCTGGGCACAGCATCCATATTTACTTGCTTACTCAGTAAATCTGGTCGAGTTTGGGACGATATGTTGACTGTACTGAGATACACGCGGCCAAAAAATAAAAACAACACGTACAGTGGGTGCCAAAAATATTCGACACAAAAAAATTATTTAATTAAAGCTTATCCAACAAAATAACATAAACACTATTCTAATGTTAATTTTCATGGGAAATGCAAATATCATACCAAAAACATTAATATCATTAAATGTTGACTTGATAATTGTAATTTTATTAAAGTTGAGGTTCAAAGTAATACAAATTTACCTTTGTGTCGAATACTTTTTGCACCCACTGTAACTGCAAATCATGATGCAAAATGTTTTCAGGACTTAAAATATGAAATATTCTTCGTACTTTTTATAACGCATAGTAGGAGCTACGTATGATGCTAGCTGCAATAATTTATTGAGCTACAAATATGACGAGCGATTCTCTAGTCCAACCTTCATTCATGTGAACTTCCAATGGAAGCAAACGTTGTATACAAGAGGTTATTTATGATTGAAGGTCATAAATAAAGATGAGTACCTTAAAATGTTACAATTCAAAGCAGTGCCTAAACAAAAACGTGAAAGTAGACAGAGCCAGAGCACATAAGTTAGGCCATACCAGGCATCGGTTTTAGTGGCTGTAGAAACTACACACTGGTCATATTGCTAGCAATAGATTGATGGCCCACTGAATAATTCACATGCATCAAAATGCGCACATCTTCAAGTCACGTAATCAATATATAAAAAGAATTTCGATCAGTTGAATGAATTTATGTTTTCGAAATTAAAAAGAATTTCGATCAATTGGATAAAATTAAAGGGCAGGAGGGCCGCCAAGCAGCGCAGTGGCGGGCAGGAGGGCCGCCAAGCAGCGCAGTGGCGGGCAGGAGGGCCACCGAGCAGCGCAGTGGCGGGCAGGAGGGCCGCCATGCAGCGCAGTGGCGGGCAGGAGGGCCGCCATGCAGCGCAGTGGCGGGCAGGAGGGCCGCCAAGCCCCGCCATAATCAACCAATGGCCGGAGGCGGCGGCCGACATGCCGCCTTTCACAGCCTGGGCCTCCGAGGACATGTTTTTGGTCTCAGCATTTCACTGGCGATGCAAGCGAGTCATGCGTCGCAGCCTCCGTATCATACAACAATAATATATCAATAATTAATTTTCTCGGCGTTGGTTAGGTCTTTTTCAACAATATTGATCGCTATCAGGATTGTTTCTGATATCATAACGATTAGAAAAAAATCGATCATAACAATAACCTACATTGAGATTTCCAGCCAAGTCTGACGTCGTACTAAAATCCTAAATGCGGCCAACCTACGATATCATTTTAGCTGGTCTGCCGTAAAAACGAATGATAGCCTGGGATAAAAAAAATTACAGCGCTATTTAAGGTCAGTTCTATAGTGAATAATTCAGCTGTAAAACTTGCATCCACAACTAATTAATTACGCGCAAAAATACCAAGTGTTTTAAGTTTCCCTTCTGAGCGACAAGTCATTCCAGTCACGCATGTGATGAATGTCTGCACTCACACTACAGACATCACGACGTCAGTCATGCATGTGATGAATGCCTGCACTCACACTACAGACATCACGACGTCAGACATGCATGTGATGAATGCCTGCACTCACACTACAGACATCACGGCGTCAGACACGCAAATGAATATCTGAGTCTCCCGTTATCTCTTAAATGAATTATTTTTGTTACATGTTATCTTTAATTGAATTCACGACAATTGAATCGGTAATTTGATTTCTGATTTCGTTAAATGAAACTCGTTTATTGGAAAACTGCAAACTGCGTTAATTAGGTACAGAAAAAACGCATACATCAAAGACTTGTCGATCCATTTATTTCTTAAATGTTAGTTTTTAGACATGACACAATAAATTTGTACCGCAAATTTCAAAAGGTCCTTGTACCGCAAATTTCATATTAATCAAAGTTTAAAGTTTAGTTAATAGTTTCTAAAATCACGTTGTTATCAATTGCCAAATTTTTAAATAACAAATACATTTATATCCAAATTAATACATAAATTTGGGCTTTATTTTCAGTTCCAGCGTCGATCTTCGTCGGTCTCAATCGTAATATTATCGGATCCACTGGAGACCGCATTGATAACCCCAGTTTTCCGTCAAAGAACAGGGCAACACCGACAAAAAGTTGGGGTTGCAGCAACGTGCTTCATCGGACTCCATGGCCTCTCTCAAATCTAAGTAGTCCAATAGGTCTACTTGTTCTGCACCCGCGAAAACATCCCTCAGCTTATCGACTTTGTTAGCGAGCACTAAGATTGGTAAATCCCCCAGGTCACCGTCGAGCATGATTTGCTTGAGGATTTCGATGGACGTAGACAGATTCATCCGATCCGAGACGTCGACAAGAAAGATCAATGTTTTTAAGCCGTTTTTGTTCACTTTCTTGAACACTTAGATTTATTCATGTAGGCTGCCGCTGAGTTCCTGCATCACAAGAACTTGCTTCCTAAGCCAAGGCTTCAGTAAGTAGTTGGCAACGTACGGCTGAAATTTCATCCAACTCGGTATCTTCTTCTCCACCGCCAACTCCAATAAAGTAGTCTTACCACAGCCTTCCATGCCCATGACAAAAATGTCTGCTTCTTCATTAACTTTCATTTCTTCGTCGCTGCCGCTGCTAAGCCGTAGCTTTTTACGGCCTGCTGAGCACACTGCATAGTTTTCGGAAAAACGATGATCTTCACAAACTTGGCGTATCTCAAAGTCAAAGCATCTCATAGTCAAAGCATCTTATTTCGACGAATCCATCGTGCTGTCTTGCATTGTATGCTATGAAGCAGCTGTCGTCCTCTCCATGCAACCATCGCTCGCTCCTTTGCGAACTTCCTTCACTTCGTCGATGAAATCATTAGAGCTGCTGCTAAACCATTGACGTTTAGTACCATAACTATTTGCAGTGTTTTCGGAAGAACGCTGATCTTCGCAAACTGCGGTCTCATCTTCTTTAGACGAATCCATCACACCATCTCCCACTGGACGCTCGGGTGTAGTCGACCTCTTCATGGCGAACATTTTCAGACAACGGCTCAACTCGAATTAATATGGAAGTATCGCGCCCAAATGATCAGCCGAAAGTTGCGTGGAGTTGCAGTCTTGATCACGAATTTCAATTTCCTTTCTTTTTGCGGCCGAAATCTCGACAGAAGTTGTGCGACAGCGCATCATAGATACGAGAAAATTAATTCGCTGGCTGATCGCTGTCAAAATTGTTAATTGTTAGCAGTGAAGTTCAGAATGAAGATAGAGAGAAATAAATCAAACTCAAATATTTTGAAATTTTAGAATCGTTTATGAGAACTAGAATGATCAGGTTTACTTAATTACCTGCTTCAACGAGTTCGATTTGTGATAGTTTTAATATTCTTAGAAATCATCAATGATCTAGGAACAACTAACACCTGCAATGATTCAGTCGGGAAACATTTTGAGCTCGTTTATGTCAGTTTCATTTGTTGAATTCAACCAGGTAATTTTATGTCATTCGTTTGCCAAGATCACCAATTGAATGCAAATTTTACAAGTTGTGACTAGTCAAAAGTGAAATAAATAGATAAGGCGCTCTTGAAGACAATTGTTTGATTATTTGGTAGTGTTTAAGGTAAATAAATGCTTATAATTGCGACTGAGGGAAGAATGGTGAAATATCTTCTCACCGCATGAATTGTTATTTTCGTGAGTTTTGCACACGACACAAACGTTAAGGTATTATCAAAAATTGTTAATAGTCCGTATATCAGTCAACCAATTACTGACGAAAAACCGGCTGCAACGTTAATGTCATGTTAAAAAGGATTACTTTCCGTGGCAGGGCCAAGGCTGTTCAACGCCTTAGGTGCCAACGCAAGGCTGTTCAACGCCTAGGTGCCAACGCAAGGCTGTTCAACGCCTAGGTGCCAACGCAAGGCTATTCAACGCCTTTCCGTGTCAGGTGGCCCAAATGAGGGCGGATGAACGATAATATGAGGCGGCGATCCATCGTGGCCTGGGACTGCTACGTCCCAAACATATTCTAAGGATACTAAATAACATTNCTAGACGTGATCCTGAGCACAATCCCAGATCGACCTCCCCTGCAACACTACCAGCGGCGAGAAGCAAGCAACAGCATCGTGCATCAGGTGGCCCAAATGAGGGCGGATGAACGATAATCAGAGGCGGCGATCCATCGTGGCCTGGGACTGCTACGTCCCAAACATATTCTAAGGATCCTAAAGATACTCAATAACATTACAAATGGACCAGTAATACGATGGAGATGAGATGGCCCAGTAACATTACAAATGGACCAGTAATACGGGGGAGATGAGACGGCTCAATAACATTACAGGCAGGCCAGTAATACGGGGGAGATGAGACGGGCTAATAGATGGAGGATATTAATACGAAACATTTTAATATGCACAGTTCGAACATAACTATTAGCAAAGTCTAATATAATGTAAATCATGTACAATGTTACCAAGATAATGATAAGATGAGTGACAAGTATTGCTCTCAGACAACATTATCATCGAACTAAATGTCAAGACGTGACACAAACAAGGAACATTCACATTAAAACATTTTAACGTGAAATTGTGACCTAAAGTGCGAAACGCCAGAAACAGACTCACCTTGTAATTTCTTTTCAGTTTCGTAAAACTTTTGCAGTTCAGAGAAATATTTATCGAGAATGAAGAGTTTCGAGAGCCCGAGAGCGGCCATCATCAGGAGTGAACGTTAGCCTCGCTACGTCGCTGCCATCATCGTCCTTCTGAACGTCGTCACGACGTACCAGTTCTTTGACACGTCACTAATTGCCATAGGCATCCTAATACTTTTATCTACGATAATTTTCAGAGTTAATCAGTAGTAAATTTAATTAGGAAATGTTAAACGGTGTGAATTTCTACAGGAATACCGTTTTGCCTGAACAAAGTTTCGCATTCCTAAAAACTGAGGTTGTTGCGAACAAAAAATTTCGCGCGCTTCGACAGAAAATTCATTGATATTATTACATTATCAGTCTGTTAATTCTTAAATGGCGCTTGAACACCCACAACACGAATAAGTTTTTTTCAGATCAACAGAACTTAGTGAAATTATTCTAAGCTAAGCGCTAATTCACTAGTAATTTGTAACACATGTTTCTCAAAACAAACACTAGGCACGGATTCAACTTCAAATTTCAATTTTTCCAATATTTAGAAGAGTTACTCACTCGAACGAGCAACTAACAGTAAACTTAATAAGTGAACTGCACCAATCGCAAGCAGTCCATCAATACAAGTAATTCACGTTTTTCCGCTCACGTGGCAGTTTCATATCTTCGTTCTTTGACTGAAACATTCAAAAATATCTACACAAATTCCTTTCCACGAATTTCAAAATTCCTTTGCATGGGTCTCCGAAGATGAGAAATTCACTGACGTTCAGTCTTATAACATCTCTTGAAGTTAGTAAAGCAAAGAATGCACAGAAGTCCAGTCAAATACATCACAAATGTCACAAGGCCAACACATTTAACTGTCATCCATGTAATATTATCACAGAAATCTTTTTAAAACAAAGAAGTGTTTTTATTTCCTAACACAGAAATCTTTTTAAAACGAAGATTATGAGCGCGGTAAGTGTTTTATTTCCTAATGCAAGATTCGCTGTTATATGAGAGTCAGCGTAATAAAGCAGCGTCACAAGACACCAGACTTTGTAATATTACAAGTAATATATGGCACTAAATTTGACACAGCGAGTGTACCTGCAGGAAAAAACACATTGACGAACTTGAGTGAATAGTTGTGTCCTTTGAAGCATTTTCATTAAAAAATTTTTAAAATGTTAACCAAAAAAGCTTCAGAAAGTATTCAAAGAATAAACTCTACTCAAGTTATCAGCATTAAATTTTTCTTCTTCATTTTGTTTAGTGGCATATAAATAAATTATTCATAATAATTAAAATACCGAGATAAAAACTGACAAACATAAACGGTAGAATTCATCAGAAATTTTCGTCTGAGGAAAATACAGTAATATAATTTTACTGCAGGTATAACATATGAGCTTTTCATGGCTTACAAGAATAAAAGAAAAAACCATTAAGACACTACAACACAGTATGCAGAATGACCTAAGGGACAGACAACAGAGACTACAACACAGTATGCAGAATGACCTAAGGGACAGACAACAGAGACTACAACACAGAATGATGAATGACCTAAGGGACAGAAAACAGAGACTACAATTCAGTATGAAGAATGACCTAAGGGACAGACAACAGAGACNTATAAGCTCGTGGAAGAAAAAATTCCATCAATTGTGATTACTGCCAAATGCGATCTGTCGAACAATCATTAAGTCAATCATATTTATTCCGTGCAGTTTCCTCATCTACGAACCGTTCTCCAAATTTTCTACTCTTATTTTTGCACTGCAGAATATTGCCTTAAACTTAGAGAATATTCAAATGAAAGAGTTTCTTAAATGCGCACTTCAAGAACGTACATCAAATTTTTTCCAAAGTTTGCTTTATTGTATCAGCAGTTGGAGCCGCCTTTCTATATATTAAGTGATTAAAGTCACATATAATTGAAAATAAATTAGGAATGCAGTAAATTGAACTTAGGAATTTTCATTGACGACTTTCACTATGTCAGTCGGACTTTAGCTGGAAATACATGTAAATAATCGCATATTCAACAATGATATTTTTTATTTAAAATATCAATTATTATTAACTAAGGAAAATAATGTCAAGTCACATGAATTGTGACAAACAATAGTTTTGGGCATTGCTTTTACATTAAACTTTACGGAAAACATCTAATTTACCGCTGATGAGAATCAGCTGTGTATAAATGATCAGTCAAAACATTTCAGAGGAGAAGTATGGAAGCAGGATAAGCATGGCGCTGTAAGTCACTGTGTCAACCAACGGTCATGCCACACACGCGTAATTTGTACTTCCTCATAGTTCTGATAAAAAATAAACTATGCAAGTTATAGAAGAAAATTTAGATTATACGGAAACGTAAAATCTAGATAAAAAATTGTAAAATGTAAATATTCCAATATTTCTAAATATTAAACGCTTTTTGTACATATGTACTTATAATAGCGTAAAATGGCTGAATTTCTTCTTTTAAACAGGTTTGATTAAAGACCAGAGAAATAGTCTTCAATCGAACCTGTTTATAGATAGAAACGTGCTAAAACGCGTACATACTTTATACTCGATAAATTAATATTGAAAAGCTAACAATTAACTTTAATAACAATTATTAAATTAACAATCCGAAGTGACCGGCAGTAGAAGTGAGGCACAACAAACGGACTGGCATTAAAAAAGATGTTCCCAGACACGAAATCTTGGATACTAACGCAGGTATAAGAACATAATGCGTGTAACCACCGCAACGCGGTTAAAGTAATGACCCAAACGACAACAAAACGAGACTAAACAGCAATAAAAACCTTTGATACACTAAAACGGATAAGGACTTGAACGCAGGGAATAAAATTAGAATGAATAAATATAGCTTAGACTGGAAGAAGGTGCGAGTAATGATGCAAGAAGTCTAGGATCTTAACGCAACTGAGGCCTATGTGATGATCCACAAGAAAAAAAATTGATAAGAAGAGGCAGTACACTGTTAAAAAAAAGGTGAAAAAACGGTCCCACTGGCGTTCTGGTGGCCGGTCGCCCCGTAAAAATAAACTGTTTCGCCGTTTTTATCAGGTGTTTTACGGATTTCTAGTGTTAAATTAGAATAAAAACGGTGACACGGTGTTTCTTTTCACGTGCCGACCGGCCACTGAAACACCGGTAATACCGTTAACGGTCATTTTTCTAACAGTGTAATAGTAACAGTTGGAAAGTAGGTGTAGCGATCACCTAGAACTGTATTGGTACAAATGAAAAACAACACAGAGAAGGCACTAATAAATTACAAACACAAAGTATTCTCTGGAATGCAATGAATACAATTATCTACAAGGCAACGGCATGAAAAATAAAATGTTGAAGCCCGGAGAAGCAATGATGAAACGTGAATCGTCATTTAAGTGCAGGTCAGATTAATATATTATTTACGAGACCGCAAAGCCAAAAATGTAGCACTTGGTTTGGGTGGACAAGAGCTGGCGACTTGAACGCAGTGCAAGAAATGATCTACAAGACGAAAATATCGAGACTTCTTGTGAGAAAAAATTATAAACTGTAAGCCAAATAGCACGAGACTGCAGCGCATTATAGCTATAGGTTAATGGCATTATAACAATTATTTAATAACACAAACAGCACGAGACTGGCACGCAGTATATCTGTTATCTAATGACACAAACAGCACGAGAATGGCACGCAGTATATCAGTTATCTAATGACACAAACAGCACGAGACTGGCACGCAGTATATCAGTTATCTAATGACACAAACAGCACGAGACTGGCATGCAGTATATCAGTTATCTAATGACACAAACAGCACGAGAATGGCACGAGGTATATCAGTTATCTAACGACACAAACAGCACGAGACTGGCATGCAGTATATCAGTTATCTAATGACACAAACAGCACGAGAATGGCACGAAGTATATCAGTTATCTAACGACACAAACAGCACGAGACTGGCATGCAGTATATCAGTTATCTAATGACACAAACAGCACGAGAATGGCACGCAGTATATCAATTATTTAATGACACAAATCACCTATCAGAGCACAGTCGGCTTTGGGTTTCTAGAGCAAATCATAGAAGATGAACAAGTTTTCCACTAACAGCATGAATATATTACATTCCTAGAACAAAAAAAAACTATTATTACGGAAGACACCAAATCGTGTTTTTTAGAGCGGGATTTGATCTAACGATGATATACGGAGTAAATAAATGCATTTAATTTCTGAGGCACAGCGTCCATATTTACTCGCTTACTCAGTAAATCTGGTCGAGTTTGGGACGATATGTTGACTGTACTGAGATACACGCGGCCAAAACATAAAAGCAACACGTACAGTGTGTGCCAAAAATATTCGACACAAAAAAAATATTTGATTAAAGCATATCCAACATAATAAAATAAACACTATTCTAATGTTAATTTGCATGGGAAATACAAATATCATATCAAAAACAATATCATTAAATTTTGACTTGATAATTGCAATTTTGTTAAAGTTGAGCTTCAAAATAATACAAATTTTGTTAACTTGCGATTTAAGCAAATAAGTGACATCAATTCTTTAATACAAATTTTCCCTTGTGTCGGATACTTTTTGCACCCACTGTAACTGCAAATCACGATACAAAATGTTTTCAGGACTTAAAATATGAAATATTCTTCGTGTTTTTTATAACGCATAGTAGGAGCTCCGTATGATGTTAGCTGATATAATTTATTCAGCTACAAATATGATGTTTGATTCTCTAGTCCAACCATCATTCATGTGACCTTCCAATGGAAGCAATGGTCATGTACAAGGGGTTACAAATAATTTTAAGGGCATAAATAAAGATGTAACGATGGTTACCTCGAAATGTTTCAATTCAAAGCAGTGCCTAAACAAAAACGTATAAGCAGACAGAGCAAGAGCACATAAGTTAGGCCATATCAGGCATCGGATTTAGTTACTGTAGAGTGTACGCACTGGTCATACAGTAAAAGATGGCCACAAAAATTCACATACATCCCAGTGAAAATTTACAGACGCGGCAGCTTCTGATTTGGATTAAACTCACACTACAGACATCACGACGTCAGTCATGCATGTGATGAATGTCTGCACTCACACTACAGACATCACAGCGTCAGTCACGCAAATGAATATCTGAGTCTCCTGTTATCTCTTAAATGAATTATTTTTTGTTACCTGTTATCTTTAATTGAATTCACGAGAATTGAATCGTTAATTTTATTTCTGATTTCGTTAAATGAAACTCGTTTATTGGAAAACTACAAACTACGTTAATTAGGTACAGAAAGAACGCATATATCAAAGACTTGTCAATCCATTTATTTCTTAAATCTTAGTTTTTAGACATGACACAATAAACTTTTACAAATCCAATATAAATTTACTCTGAAAGAAGGTCCTTGTACCGCAAATTTCATATTAATCAAAGTTTAAAGTTTAGTTAATAGTTTCTAAAATCACTTTGTTATCAATATTGCCAAATTTTGAAATCACAAATACATTTATATCCAAATTAATGCATAAATTTGGGCTTTATTTTCAGTTCCAACGTAATTTTCAAATGTCTTCGTCGGTCTCAATCGTAATATTCTCGGATCCACCGGAGACCGCATTGATAAATCCCAGTTTTCCGTCAAAGAACAGGGCAATACCGTCAGGAAATCGGAGCAGCAGCATCGAGCTTCATCGGCCTCTATGGCCTCTCTCAAATCTAAGTAGTCCAACAGGGGCCATCTTTTCAAAACTTGCTAAGTGAACGTAAGTACTTACGCTCTATTTTCTTGTCTATGATTGGTGGATTTTGCTTGAAAGGCCGTCAATGATTGGCTGATGAACTTACGATCTCTTAACTTTTTTTGAAAGTATAGTGAACGTAAGTACTTACGCTCTATTTTCTTGTTCATGATTGGTGGATTTTGCTTGAAAGGCCGTCAATGATTGGCTGATGAACTTACGATCTCTTAACTTTTTTTGAAAGTATAGGCCCTGGTCTACTCAATTGTTCTGCATTCGTGAAAACTTTCCTCAGCTTATCCACTTTATTTGCGAGGACTAA